GTTAGACGAAGAAGAGGGGAAGATGGGAATGTCGTCAACACCAAGTCTTCGGCACAAGCCCAAATAGTCCCTCATCAAAATGTCTGAATCCCAATACCGAGTCTGGATCCAATGTCGTCAAGTCTCAAGTCACAACTCTCTCTCGCTGATACTGAGAAGTCACGTAGTGAGAGGGTGAAGAAGAGATGGTGGACTTAGAAGAGGAGGAAGAAGAACTCTCTCTCTCTCTCTCTCAGCCCGGTACTAACCTGTGAAGATTTAGAAGAGGAGAAAGAAGAACTCTCTCTCTCTCTCTCTCAGTCCGGTACTAACCTGTGAAGCTGGCGCCTTGATGTAGGTATCTCGAAGATGGAGCTGGAGCTATGGCGCCACAGGTAAGTCTCACTGGCCTCCGCTAGCCATCTCTCCCCAACACTACTACTACCACCTACTAGCGCCCAGCGCTGAAGACTACTGCTACTGCTACTAGCGCCCAGCGTTGAAGACTACTGCTAGCGCTAAGCTATGCCTGCAGCGCTCCTCCGAAGTGATGTTGCCGAATCCTGAAGACTGCCTCTTGCCTTCTGTCCAACTACCTACCCGTGAAGTGCATGGGAACTCCCTATGTACTACTTGGCCTGCCTCCTGACTGCTTGCAGTTGCAGGGCGAGGCAGTCCAGGAGGTTGCTCTTGCCAATGTTAGGGCAAGCCAGGGGCTGGCACTGCAGCTCCTGCTGAGGCTGGCGTGGGGAACAGGCCAAAAATAGCATGTTCCCAAAACCCTGGTTTGTTGCCTAAGTTCTAGGGCTGGACGATCTTATGAGGGCCCGAAAGTGGCCCTCTGTTTCAGGCCGAAAAGACTCAGGGCCTGGACGGCCCTGTTATAGGCTGAAAACGAAATAGGGTCTGTAGGCCCTCGTTTTCAGTTTCCAGGCTGAAACGACATGGGGCCTGTAAGCCCTTATTTCTAGGCTTTTAGGCTAAGAATGCGGAACGGGCGCTGCAGGCCCGTGTGGCTACACAGTATGCCACACCCCCCCCTCCTTGAAAAACCGAGCTTACCTGCGAGGGCGAAACTGTCTGTTTGAGGGAGGGACCACAGTCCGGGTTGGAGGGGCAGGTCGTGAAGTTCCCTGAGCTAACCTTTGCTTCTCGTAATGAGCGTAGATCAGCGGTGCGGATGCTTTCAAATTTGCTCCTGAAATCCATCGAGTGTTGTCGCGATCGCATGATTTGAATATAACCTTGTACTGTCGAGGCTTGCTGCCGTACTTGCGATCGGTGATGACGCGGTCAACTTCCTGATGGTTATCCATAGAAGGAGGGTCCTGCGATCATCGGCCCGGGAAGTTGTCGCTCTTAGCTGGTGTGTATGTCGCCAGGCTCGCCAGCTTTGAGGCGCGAAAGACTGGATGGACCGTCAGATGCGGGGGGATGTTGATCACAAATGAAGGGTCATCGGTCTCATCGCCCGTGGGTGATGTTACGGGCCATGGTCCAAACCACTTGGGAAAGAGTTTGCGTGAAACATCCTGTTCCAGTGCAAACTCTTCCGTGGAGACCCAAACCAAATCACCGGCGCGGATAGGACATGGCACGCGGCGCCTGTTGGCTTGCTGCTGCATGCGGACTTGAGCCTTTTGCATGTTTGTGAGGGCTTGAGCCAGCACTTCCCTGTACTTCCGGACGGAAGCGGGAGAGCAAGTGTCGTCGATATCGGCTGGTCGTGGGAGGATAAGGTCGGCGAAGATACGGCCTTTCCGTCCACCGTGGTGCAACTCGAATGGAGTCACGCCGATCCCCAGGTGCACCGAAGTGTTGTAGGCGAACTCGATGTCGGGGAGGCGGTCAACCCAATCTTTCTGGTCCGGACGGATGAGCGTACGAAGCATCATTTGAGCAGTTTGATGTGCCTGTTCCGTTTGCCCGTCCGTCTGTGGATGTCGAGCCGAACTAGGAGAAGCCGGGGAGGTGTTTCGGTGTGAAGTTAAATTCAATTTGGTCGATGAAGTACATCCATCGTCCGATCGTACTGCTCACCGTATCCTGCGTCCTGTAGTAGGTCAATGGGTTGTTGTCCGTGACCCATGTGAACCTTCGACGCCCAAGGAGGAAGTGTCGCCATCGCTTGAGAGCCATCACGAACGCGAGCAACTCCTTCTTCCTTGCATCATCAAGCGAATTGATGGGAGACACTTTGTGGCTGAAATCCTCCGCAGAGTGTCAGTCGTCGCCATCGTGTTGTTCCAAGACTGCCCCAATGCCATAGCCAGAAGCGTCGGCTGTCACTCTCGTTGGCAGGGTGGGGTCGTAGATGCTAAGGAGTCAGGATGGGTGCCATGAGCATGGTCGTCTTGAGTGCTTGGAATGATCGGCGTGCGTCGTCATCGAATACGAATGGTACCTTTGGCGATTGTAACCTCGTCATAGGTACCCAGTGATGAATCATTGATAGTAGTCCGCCAACCCCATTAATGAACAGACGTCCATGGTGTTAGTGAGCTCGGATCCTACGCGGATGGCCTCGATCTTGTACGCAAGCGGACGGATGCCTTGCGGCGTCACATAATGTCCCAAGTACTCCAGCTCCTGCCGCGCGAATTCGCATTTGTCGCGGTTGGCTTTGTACTTGGCTTGTCGTAGCCGCTCCAAAACGGTGCGCAGGTGCTCCATATGCTCGTCCAAACTATGACTGTACACCAAAATGTCGTCGAGGTAGATACGTACGAATCGATCCAGCAGGGCCGGCGTTCTTGACCGTTTACGCGTTGAGCTTGCGATAATCGATGCACAACTGCAGATCCTTGTTCTTCTTCCGGACGAAGAGAAAGGGAGCAACGTATGGCGAGGAGCAAGGCCGAATCCAGCCTTTCTCAAGAAGGTCGTCGAGTTGTGCCCGTAGCACACTTAGTTTTTCCTCGCTTAGTCGGTAGATGCAACCACGCAGAGGTACAACCCCGTCCTCGAGGATGATCTCGTGGCGGATGGGCCGATCCAGTACTACTCCGTGCGGGCCTTCGAACACGTCGCCGTAGGAGTCGAGAAGCTCGGTGATGCGTGGGTCTGAAGATGAGTCCGTCGATGAAGTGTCATGGGGCGGGAGGGCATGGAGAAAACACACCCCCATCTCCTCGATGTCGTCTCTGATGATGGAAGCTCTCATGCTTGCGGCGGACACCATGTGGCAGCTGATCAAAGGGTGAGGAGGAGGCACCGTGCATGGGACTAGTACTCCGTTCCGATCACGAACGTGAACGGTGCGGCGGTAGAAGTTCACCGGGTGATCCTCGCTTCGCAGCCATGACATGCCCAAGATCATGTCGAATTTGATGTCCAAAATATCGAAGGACACCGCCTCGCTTGCATGCGGGGCAAAGTACACGGGGACGTCATCTATGCACCGGTCAATTGACTTGTGTGTGTGACCGTCTGCCAACGTGCGTAGGCTGGGACTTCCTCCGGACGCGTGGGCCAAGGCCGGCGCGTACCATACAGTCCTGGCTTATGTAGTTGCGAGATGCTCCGCAATCGATCAAAGCGCTGCAGGTCGCTTCTCCGATCTGAATGCGTACATATAACAATAGTGCGTCGATGTCATCGTACCGTTGTGTCCTGAACTCGCTGTTGATCTTCGCAATGTAAATTGTGAAGGTCGACAACCTCTACTCCGGCGTCCATCAACGGAGTTGGTACTGCATTGTGCAAGTAATCCCGCAGTTGTGCCATGAGCACGTTGCAATGCAGTTTCGGCAATCGACCGGACGGGGGAAGGGGCATCCATTGGAAGTCCGCAAACGTCAACGAGTCGAGCTCTTCAAGTCTTGACCATGTCGTCGAATCCCCGATTATAGATGGCGGCGAAGCTGCCGACTCGGTTGTCGATGGTAGTGAAACCGTGCATGCGGTGGATTGTTGCACGTGGAGTGGTTGGTCGAACGGTGGGACCTAGTGGACAGTATAATCCTCGTAAGTGAACCGAGGACCTGCGACATTCGCATCGTCCCTAGATGTGTAGGAGGCCGCTAACAAGGTGACCGAATTTGGCGGAGTGAGAGGTGGAGTCACCTCACCTCGCGTGCAACTCAGTTTCCCGAGTTGATGTGAGGCCGAACATCCTCCTTGCCTTGATCCGGGCATTGGGAGGTCTTGTGCTTGGTGTTGCTGCACCAATAGCAGCAGTCGTAGCGGCCACGTCACTTGTATTCCGCCTCGGTCAAGTGAAACTTAACCCATGGTGTTGGCTGTCCGTTTTCGGCCGACGATGGGGTTTTCGCCTTCCCGTTTCCTCGGGACTTGTTGTTGCTTCGCGGTTGGACAGTAGCCACCTGATCTCCCTCACGTGATGCTTGGGTGGCTGCCGGGTCTTCCACAATGTTGTCCGTGTGGACTGCAGCGACATGCTGCGGACGCGAACCAAATTTTCCTTTCTCCACATAGGTTGGCTGCCATGCCAACTTCTCATGTCCAGCCGCCCTATTGGTCTTGATGATCTCCCTTGCCTTGTCGATGATTTCGGCGAAGGTCGCGTATTGCTCGCGATCACCAAGTGCAAGGCTCAAGGCGGCACATGACCGGTTGTAGAACTCCCGGCGCAGGTGCGAAAATGGCAATTCGAGATCCGATGTCGCCGCGATCTTTTGCCATTCCGTGAGCCAGTCACGTGTCGATGTGTTGCCTTGCGTCATAGCGAAGAGGCGGTTGATGGCGAGGTCGTCCACGATGAACTGCTTCTTCCATAGCCATGTTAACTCTTCCCAAGAGATCTTATCTTTCAGATTTGCGACGTCGACGCCGTGGACGGTTGCCAGGTGGCTCAACCAGATCTGGCATCCGCCCTTTGAGTTGAGGAACAATGCGCCGATGTACGAGTGCTTGGGGACGAACAGAATCCGAAGTTGCGTCGTAAAGCCCTCCCACCAGATGACCGGGTCTTGATGCGTGTAATCATCGAACTTCTCGATTTGGAATGTGGCCATCTTGTAATGCTGCACGGTGTTGCCATCCTTGTTAGGCAGCTGGTGCAGTTGCTGAACCTCGGTCTTCAAGGTGTCCAGTTGCTTGTTGATGGTGGCTGGTGCAGCGAAGGTGCTGATGTCGCCGAGCATTGCGACTATGTGGTTAACTTGTTCCTCCAACTGGCGGGTAGAGGGTGCACTTCTGGTCTCGCCAGCATTCGGTCTTGGTGCAACTTGCTCCAAGTCCTGTACACAGGAATGAAGTGCCCGTGTAGCATCCTCGTGCAGATCCTTGTGGCTCTACATTGCTCGTCGGAGAATCGCCAGCTCGGACTGCAGGTGGTTACAAGTGTAGACCAACCGGGTCACGAGCTTGGCCAGGAATTCCTTATGCTGCTCCTCCGGTGTTGCGTCGTCGTGCCCCTTGGATGGTTCAAAGTGCCAGAACTTGAGCTTTTCTATGCTGGTGGCTTCATGCCGCTGTAGCAGATCCTGGGCCTCCTTGCGGCGTGCCTGGGTATCTGCTTCAGCTTCGGCTTGAAGTCGCTGCTTTTCAACTGTTGCCGCTGCTTCAGCCTGTAGGCGGACAGCCTCGGCTGCCAGCTTGCGCTGTTCCTCAGCCTCGATTAGTGCGAGCTGAGCTTCGAACCGCTCTCGGTACTCGACAATGGACTCATTGGCCAGTTGGCCTGGCATGCCCAGAGCTGAGCCCGTCATGGTGGTGGGGCACTGCTGACGTGGCACTGTTGCTGACGTGGCACTGCTGACGTCGCACTATTGCTGACGTGGCACTGCTGCTGACATGGCACTGTACCAACCCGGGAATGCATGCGAAGGGGTGGGTGGGAGGGAAAACGCAGGTAGGTAACCAACCCAGCTATAGTTTCCTCCCGGTCCTAATCAACAGACTAAAATTAAAAAAAATAAAAAAGAAGAAGATTACCCCCCTTTTTTTTTTTTTTTATGTCTGTCGATCTGCTATGAGTGAGGCATGTCAGAAGAGTACTACGAGCGAGATCTAGGCCAGGTTCCACAAAGTTTCGGCTTTCACAAAAATGCGATCTTGAAAAAAAAAATTGCGGCGGTCTATTCCTATGCCTCTCGAATTACTGTATGTGGTTATAGGCATCTCAAAAAACAAGGTGAGTGGGAGACGGAGAGGGGTGGAGAGGGGTGGATAGCATGCGTCCTACTAGCGAGGGGGCTAGCTGGTAGGATTGGAATAGGGTATAGCAGCAGCAGAGATGGTGGCTCTGCTGCAGTAAGTCTTGCCGGAGTGAGGTGCAGAAGATTGGTGGGGGGGTCTTCTGAGCTGTTTTGAATTCTGCCTATTCTGGACGTCTGTCATAGTCAATTCCTAAGTAGCTTCAAACTTTTTGAGCCGAAGCCGGGTAATGGCCCCGGTATCTCAGAATTCCAAATTCAACAAAGGTGAGTGGGAGAGATGGCAGGTTATCACGCGTCCTGCTAGTGAGGGGGCTAGCTGGTAGGATGGAAATAGGGTAGAGCGGCAGCAGAGATGGTGGCTCTGATGCAGTAAGTCTTGCCGGAGTGAGGTGAAGGGGATTGATGAGGTGGGTTCCTTGAGTCAGTTTTTTGAATCTTGCTTAGTTCTAATGTTTGTCGTAGGCACTTCTGAATAGCTCCCAATTTTTTCTGAGCCAAAGCCGGGTAATGGCCCTGGTATTTCAACCTTCAATTCTATGTAAATTTCTATATGGGACGCTGGGCCCGGTTCCCAGCACGTGCTGCTCGCCACGAATAGATTCGAGCTGTTCCCAAAAAAAAAAAAAAAAAAAAGTTTGGGAGTATCTCCAAACAGTGCCGTACCCCCGTTCACCGTTCACGGGGTCTGTGGACGGAGACCGGTCATGGAGTNAAAAAAAAAAAAAAAAAAAAAAAGCGAAATACACTAGAGATGCGATTTTCAGAAAAGAACTAAATCTACTTTCTGAGAATATGACAACCTCTTAATATGCCTAAAAGGCTTCGCAAGATTTCGGTTCAAAAAAAAATTTGCGAGATAGAATGGAGATTCGATTTTCAGAAAAGAATAAATCCGGTTTCCGAGAATATGACCACCTCTATCGTTATCCTAATATGCCTAGAAAACGAAATGTTAACATCAGAAATTTTCGGCTATGTATGCGAATATCAGAGAAACGAGATGCTACTATCAGGAGTTTTCAGATAAAACGAAATGCGATTATCAGAAATTTTCAGATATTTGTTGCGTGAAAACGAGATACTAATATCAGAAATTTTCAGGTAAAACGAAATGCGATTATCAGAAATTTCAGATATTTGTTGCGAGAATTTTTTTCTTTTCAGAGATTTGACGAAGTCCTACTTGATTCACTAATGAGTAATCAATAGATCAAGCAAACTGACTACTTGATTGAGCGGGTCCTCTGTATGAGAGGTCCGCTCCGATACCAAACTGTTGCATACTGTAACGGTGCACACCAGAACAAGAACCGACCTCTCTCACAAAGTACAGGATAGCAAAGCGGAAGACTTAGATACCGATGATCCGAACAATCAATATTGCAATGAGGGGGGTTAGACGAAGAAGACGGGAACATGGGCATGTCGTCAACACCAAGTCTTCGGCACAAGCCCAAATAGTCCCTCGTCAAAATGTCTGAATCCCAATGTCGAGTCTGGATCCAATGTTGTCAAGTCTCAAGTCACAACTCTCTCTCGCTGATACTGAGAAGTCAGATAGTGAGAGGGTGAAGAAGAGATGGTGGACTTAGTAGAGGAGGAAGAAGAACTCTCTCTCTCTCTCTCTCAGTCCGGTACTAACCTGTGAAGCTGGCGCCTTGATGCAGGTACCTCGAAGATGGAGCTGGAGCTGCGGCGCCACAGGTAAGTCTCACTGGCCTCCGCCAGCCATCTCTCCCCAACACTACTACTACCACCTACTAGCGCCCAGCGCTGAAGACTACTGCTACTGCTACTAGCGCCCAGCGCTGAAGACTACTGCTAGCGCTAAGCTACTCCTGCAGCGCTCCTCCGAAGTGCTGCTGCCGAATCCTGAAGACTGCCTCCTGCCTTCTGTCCAACTACCTACCCGTGAAGTGCATGGTAACTCCCTATGTACTACTCGGCCTGCCTCCTGACTGCCTGCAGCTGCGGGGCGAGGCAGTCCAGGAGGCTGCTCTTGCCACTGCCAGGGCAAGCCAGGGGCTGGCGCTGCAGCTCCTGCTGAGGCTGGCGTGTGGAACAGGCCAAAAATAGCCTGTTCCCAAAACCCTGGTTCGTTGCCTGAGTTCTAGGGCAGGACGATCTAGTGAGGGCCCGAAAGTGGCCCTCCGTTTCAGGCCGAAAAGACTCAGGGCCTGGACGGCCCTGTTATAGGCTGAAAACGAAATAGGGCCTGCAGGCCCTCTTTTTCAGTTTTCAGGCTGAAACGACATGGGGCCTGTAAGCCCTTATTTCTAGGCTTTTAGGCTGAGAATGCGGAACGGGCCCTGCAGGCCCGTGTGGCTACACAGTATGCCACAGTGACAGCACATTCCTTTCGCCTTGGGCCGCCGCCATTATCATAAAAGTCCCGCTATTGTCGGCCGAGTGGGATCCGGAATCACTTTTCGGTTCCTCAGTGAGCGGGCCCGCCCATGGCGGTTCTTTTTGCTTCTCCGCGAAAAGAAGAGAAGTCGGATCAGTCCCTTAGTCACGGCCTCTGTCGCACTGTCATTTTGTGGGTGTAGACTCCAAGAGGTTAAAGGCCTCAGCGCACTACCCGCCAAATAAAAAAATAGCAAAATTTATGGGGGTGCATGTTTCCATGGCTTTGGTGGGAAGAAGTTATTTTTCCGGCCCTACGCGGTCACAGCGTCAGCATTTCCAGAGGTGCTGGATGAGGTGTACCCGGAAGTGGGTGAAAAACAAAAAAGAAAGTGCGTGATGTGGTT